ACCTGTAACCACACCCAACAGCGATGTCACAGGGGCCTGCAGTACCCCTGTATGTCACTGCAGCAAGGTGAGAAGCTAAACCGTTGGAGATCAGTAAAGAACTCTTAGTAAAGATATATTTTGTAGTGGCTGTTGTTTTTTTTTGACATAGCAGGAAAAAATACGTTGTGTGCTGCAACATTTTTTTGGTGAACAACAGGCGGGCACCGTAACTTCCCAGAAGAGCTGGATAAGCTGTTTGTTTCAAGATACAGTTACAGCCCATCACTCCAGGATGTGGTACAGCAAAATGAATCTGCTAGGTTAATTATGTGGCTAATTGCACCCACTGCGATGATTCCATTGGAATACACAGAAATTGCCACAAAATTGGGCTGTGTTTAAATGCTGGTGTGACCAAGACTTTACTATCATACCTGCGTCCGTTTGCAAGAACAAATCTCACTAATGATGTCATTTAAGAAGGGGCGTGTTGTGTGGCCCGATTTTAGCGGAGACCTTGATGAGTGTAAATTGATTTGTCTCCAACCTCCCTAGACGACAAGTCATCCGTTTCCTACGTCACACACCGGCTGTGTGTATAAAGTGTGTATTCCTCTCAGGGAGGGTCCTGTCTTTAGGGTACACCAGCAGAGATCTGAAGGTGACTCCTTGGTACTAGACACTGTGGCTAGATGTTCCGCCATGTAAGGGAGTCCCGCTGTGTTCCTTATCCTGTCCTGGTCTTAGGTCTGGCCTGGATTCTCATGATCCATTTGTACTCTGCATTTCACAGTCTTCATAAACGGATGGGAGATTGCTCATTTGAAAGCTCCAGAAAAGGCTTGAAAGGGGAGCATGAGTCAAGGTTATTTTGGGAAACTAGCAGCTTTGACATCAGTATGAATCAGAGACTTGTCCTAAACAAGCCTTATGTTATCCTCACGCTCCAAAAAATAAATAAAAGGAAAATAGATCCACAAAACTGCTCTGTGGTCCAAATCACTCTATATGAAAGCTTGGTTTCATAAACACAAAAATGTTTTTGTTAAGAGTAGGGTATTTTTATTTTGTCTTATGATTGTGCAGCAGCGCTTTATGAAAGAGAGCTTGTGATTGATAGAAAGAAGTCAGAAAATAGTTCCCTCCTGACAAGAGAACCTCTTCAAACAGCATCTTTTTCTCTGCTTGTGACTTGTTTTTTTTGTCCTGGCTTGAGCACCGTTTCCCTGTCTCATGCTGAACAAAACAAAAGCACTGTTACATTGATCAAATTAAGAAGACTGGCGGCCGTTCATTTAGTACTGGATTTTGGCCAGTCAGCATCATTCCTCCTGATCACAGCCTGAGTGTCTGCAGGGAAATTGGGGATTTTTTGTTGTTTTTCGTTTACTGATTTGATTGTTCAGTCACATTTTATAAAGGAATCCTTCCTTTTTGAAGGCCAAAGTTGTGCACCCTCTACTAAACAAACTTCATGTAGGTTTTTAAAGGGGGAGTTTGTCCCAC